CGCTCTCCCCGGACCCCGCATTCACTATATCTGCTCTCCCCGGACCCCGCATTCACTATATCCGCTCTCCTCGGACCCCGCATTCACTATATCTGCTCTCCCCGAACCCCGCATTCACTATATCCGCTCTCCCCGGACCCGCCATTCACTATATCTGCTCTCCCCGGACCCCGCATTCACTATATCCGCTCTCCCCGGACCCTGCATTCACTATATCCACATTCCCCGGACCCCGCATTCACTATATGCGCTCTCTCTGGATCCTGCATTCACTATATCTGCTCTCTCTGGACCCCCGCATTCACTATATCCGCTCTCCCCGGACCCCGCATTCACTATATCCGATCTCTCCGGACCCCGCATTCACTATATCTGCTCTCTCTGGACCCTGCATTCACTATATCCGCTCTCCCCGGACCCCGCATTCACTATATCCGCTCTCTCCAGACCCTGCATTCACTATATCCGCTCTCTCCGGATCCTGCATTCACTATATCTGCTCTCTCTGGACCCTGCATTCACTATATCCGCTCTCCCCGGACCCCGCATTCACTATATCCGCTCTCCCCGGACCCGCCATTCACTATATCCGCTCTCCCCGGACCCCGCATTCACTATATCCGCTCTCCCCGGACCCACCATTCACTATATCTGCTCTCCCCGGACCCCGCATTTCACTATATCCGCTCTCCCCGGACCCCGCATTCACTATATCTGCTCTCCCCGGACCCCGCATTCACTATATCCGCTCTCCCCGGACCCCGCATTCACTATATCTGCTCTCCCCAGACCCCCGCATTCACTATATCCGCTCTCCCCGGACCCTGCATTCACTATATCCACATTCCCCGGACCCCGCATTCACTATATGCGCTCTCTCTGGATCCTGCATTCACTATATCTGCTCTCTCTGGACCCTGCATTCACTATATCCGCTCTCCCCGGACCCCGCATTCACTATATCCGCTCTCCCCGGACCCCGCATTCACTATATCCGCTCTCTCCGGACCCTGCATTCACTATATCCGCTCTCTCCGGATCCTGCATTCACTATATCTGCTCTCTCTGGACCCTGCATTCACTATATCCGCTCTCCCCGGACCCCGCATTCACTATATCCGCTCTCTCCGGACCCTGCATTCACTATATCCGCTCTCCCCGGACCCCGCATTCACTATATCCGCTCTCTCCGGATCCCGCATTCACTATATCCGCTCTCCCCGGACCCCGCATTCACTATATCCGCTCTCCCCGGACCCCGCATTCACTATATCCGCTCTCTCCGGACCCTGCATTCACTGTATCTGGTCTCCCCGGACCCCGCATTCACTATATCCGCTCTCCCCGGACCCCGCATTCACTATATCCGCTCTCTTCGGACCCCGCATTCACTATATCCGCTCTCCCCGGACCCCGCATTCACTGTATCTGGTCTCCCCGGACCCCGGATTCACTATATCCGCTCTCCCCGGACCCCGCATTCACTATATCCGCTCTCCCCGGACCCGGCATTCACTATATCCGCTCTCCCCGGACCCCGCATTCACTATATCCGCTTTCCTCAGACCCTGCATTCACTATATCCGCTCTCCCCGGACCCCGCATTCACTATATCTGCTCTCCCAAGACCCAGCATTCACTATATCTGCTCTCCCCAGACCCTGCATTCACTATATCCGCTCTCCCCGGACCCCGCATTCACTATATCCGCTCTCCCCGGACCCGCCTTCACTATATCCGCTCTCCCCGGACCCCGCATTCACTATATTCGCTCTCCCCGGATCCTGCATTCACTATATCCGCTCTCCCCGGACCCCGCATTCACTGTATCCGCTCTCCCCGGACCCTGCATTCACTATATCCGCTCTCCCCGGACCCCGCATTCACTATATCCGCTCTCTTCGGACCCCGCATTCACTATATCCGCTCTTCCCGTACCCCGCATTCACTGTATCTGGTCTCCCCGGACCCCGCATTCACTATATCCGCTCTCCCCGGACCCCGCATTCACTATATCCGCTCTCCCCGGACCCGGCATTCACTATATCCGCTCTCCCCGGACCCCGCATTCACTATATCCGCTTTCCTCAGACCCTGCATTCACTATATCCGCTCTCTTCGGACCCCGCATTCACTATATCCGCTCTTCCCGTACCCCGCATTCACTGTATCTGGTCTCCCCGGACCCCGCATTCACTATATCCGCTCTCCCCGGACCCCGCATTCACTATATCCGCTCTCCCCGGACCCGGCATTCACTATATCCGCTCTCCCCGGACCCCGCATTCACTATATCCGCTTTCCTCAGACCCTGCATTCACTATATCCGCTCTCCCCGGACCCCGCATTCACTATATCTGCTCTCCCAAGACCCAGCATTCACTATATCCGCTCTCCCCGGACCCCGCATTCACTATATCCGCTCTCCCCGGACCCGCCATTCACTATATCCGCTCTCCCCGGACCCCGCATTCACTATATCCGCTCTCCCCGGACCCCGCATTCACTATATCCGCTCTCCCCGGACCCCGCATTCACTATATCTGCTCTCCCCAGACCCTGCATTCACTATATCCGCTCTCCCCGGACCCCGCATTCACTATATCCGCTCTCCCCGGACCCCGCATTCACTATATCCGCTCTCCCCGGACCCCGCATTCACTATATCCGCTTTCCTCAGACCCTGCATTCACTATATCCGCTCTCCCCGGACCCCGCATTCACTATATCTGCTCTCCCCGGACCCCGCATTCACTATATCCGCTCTCCCCGGACCCCGCATTCACTATATCTGCTCTCCCCAGACCCTGCATTCACTATATCCGCTCTCCCCGGACCCCGCATTCACTATATCCGCTCTCCCCGGACCCGCCTTCACTATATCCGCTCTCCCCGGACCCCGCATTCACTATATTCGCTCTCCCCGGATCCTGCATTCACTATATCCGCTCTCCCCGGACCCCGCATTCACTGTATCCGCTCTCCCCGGACCCTGCATTCACTATATCCGCTCTCCCCGGACCCCGCATTCACTATATCCGCTCTCTTCGGACCCCGCATTCACTATATCCGCTCTCCCCGGACCCCGCATTCACTGTATCTGGTCTCCCCGGACCCCGCATTCACTATATCCGCTCTCCCCGGACCCCGCATTCACTATATCCGCTCTCCCCGGACCCGGCATTCACTATATCCGCTCTCCCCGGACCCCGCATTCACTATATCCGCTTTCCTCAGACCCTGCATTCACTATATCCGCTCTCCCCGGACCCCGCATTCACTATATCCGCTCTCCCCGGACCCCGCATTCACTATATCCGCTCTCCCCGGACCCGCCATTCACTATATCCGCTCTCCCCGGACCCCGCATTCACTATATCCGCTTTCCTCAGACCCTGCATTCACTATATCCGCTCTCCCCGGACCCCGCATTCACTATATCTGCTCTCCCCAGACCCTGCATTCACTATATCCGCTCTCCCCGGACCCGCCTTCACTATATCCGCTCTCCCCGGACCCCGCATTCACTATATTCGCTCTCCCCGGATCCTGCATTCACTATATCCGCTCTCCCCGGACCCCGCATTCACTATATTCGCTCTCCCCGGATCCTGCATTCACTATATCCGCTCTCCCACAGTACACACACGGAAATTCAATTATTTTATTAAATATAAACTGCTAAATACCTTTTCTCATCAGCAGTCTTGTGACTAGTTACAGCTTTTATTCTGCTCTGGGAAGATTCAGGACCCTGACCTCTGTTTGAACAGTGGTGATTGACCCTGTGATGATCTCATAGACTCTCCCAAAAAAACAATACACTCCAAACTGAGCATGTGCAGAGTAACTCCTAAAGCTCTGTACTATCAGTAGATGGATGGGAGACAGTAGAAGGGGAGGATCAGAGAAGACAGGATCAAATATCCTTTTTACACAATGCGGAGGATTAACCCCTTTGGTCCCACAGTGAGTATAACAAGCATGCTTTACTGCATATACAGACTGATTGTACTGTTGTGGGTTTAGTAACACTTTGACTTGTTTTTGTTCTATTCTATTGTTTTTCTATCTAGGATGGGCTGACATTATTATTATTATTATACAGTATTTATAAAGCGCCGATAGTTGGCTCAGCGCTGTACATTACAAAGGGGGACAGAACATGTGACAGAACAATACCAATACAATGCAAAACATGAGGGGATCGAGGGCCCTGATCCTTGGAGCTTACAATCTAGGAGGGAGGGGATGGTGGCACAGGAGGAGATAGCTGTGGGGGATGGAGTGGTAGGAAGAGTGGAGGAGGTCAGCAAGTTAGCAGGGGGTGGGGTAGGCTTCCCTGAAGAGGTGGGTTTTCAGGGTGCGCCTAAAGGAGAGGAGAGTAGGTGATAATCTGATGGGTTGGGGCAGGGAGTTCCAGAGGATGGGTGACACCCTGGAGAAGTCCTGGAGGCGGGCATGGGAGGAGGAGACCAGGGAACTAGAGAGAAGGAGGTCTTGTGAGGAGGGGAGTGTGCGTGTTGGGTGGTACTTGGATATTAGGTCAGTGATGTAGTTCGGGGCAGTATGGTGGACGGCTTTGTACGTCAGTGTTAGGATTTTGAATTTGATCCGTTGAGCAATCGGAAGCCAGTGGAGGGATTGGCAGAGGGGGGTGGAGGACACTGAGTGGAGGCCAATGGAGGGATTGGCAGAGGGGGGTGGAGGACACTGAGTGGAGGCCAGTGGAGGGATTGGCAGAGGGGGGTGGAGGACACTGAGTGGAGGCCAATGGAGGGATTGGCAGAGGGGGGGGGTGGAGGACACTGAGTGGAGGTCAGTGGAGGGATTGGCAGAGGGGGGTGGAGGACACTGAGTGGAGGCCAATGGAGGGATTGGCAGAGGGGGGTGGAGGACACTGAGTGGAGGCCAGTGGAGGGATTGGCAGAGGGGGGTGGAGGACACTGAGTGGAGGCCAATGGAGGGATTGGCAGAGGGGGGTGGAGGACACTGAGTGGAGGCCAGTGGAGGGATTGGCAGAGGGGGGGTGGCGGAGATAGAGCGGTTGGAAAGGTGAATGAGTCTGGCAGCCGTATTCAGGATGGACTGAAGCGGGGATAGCCAGCGGCGAGGCAGGCCAGTGAGGAGGGAGTTGCAGTAGTCGAGTCGTGATATGATGAGGTAGTGGATGAGCTGTTTAGTGGTTTCTGGGGTTAGGAACGTGCGGATTTTGGCGATGTTGGGGAGGTGGAGTCTGCATGTTGCGGAGGTGGAGTCTGCATGTTGCGGAGGTGGAGTCTGCACGAGTTTGTTAAAGATTGGACTTGGGGCTGGAAGGATAGGTTGTAAGTCCAGAATGACACCAAGTACTCTGGCCATCGGGGCGGGTTTGATGGTGGCGTTGTTGGATGTGATGGAGAAGTCAATGGGGGGTGGTGTCCGGGCTGAGGGGGGGAAGACAAGAAACTCAGTTTTGGAGAGGTTCAGTTGACATGAAAGAGATTTCATCATTGATCTATTACTTTGTTTTCTTGTTTTTTTTTTTTACTGGAAATGTATATTCTACTTAGTAGAACTGAGGAAGTTCTTTAATATATTGGCCAGATCTTGAGTCCTGGGATAGACAGGGCTTCCTCTTTCCCATGGCATTGTGCCAGAGATTTGGCTCTATGCTGAAAATTCGGTATAAAACAATCGATCCAATATCCTGTACTCTGTCACATCGCTTATGCTTTGTAACTAGTGATGGGCCGAACATTCCCCTTGTTTGTTTCTTGGTCAAACATCCGAACCTATAGAATGTTCAACCACGAACTTCGAACATGAACAATTTAGAGCGGTATCTTCCTACATCTGAGTATGTGGTAAGATGCCGCACAGCTACTACAATCCGGCACGAGTACTATGATGACGTCATGCCGTATTTTAGCAGTGAGACATTCATTCATGTCTTCGGTGTCTGTGGGGTTCCCACTGACAGCTGAATAAAAAATGCGTCCGTTATGGATATTGAGGGGAACCCGCACGCCAAAATTTAAAAAAGAAAAAGGAGTGCGGGTCCCCCCAAAATACATGGCAGACCCTTATCCGAGCATGTAGACCGGCAGGTCCGGAAAGGGGGGGACGAGCAAGTGACACCCCCCCATCCTGAACCATACCAGACTACATGACCTCAACATGGGGGGGTGCTTTGGGGCAGGGGGACTTCCCCCCCCCCCTAAAGCACCTTGTTCCCATGTTGATGGGGACAAGGGCCTCTTCCCCACAACTGTGGCCAGTGGTTGTGGGGGTCTGTGGGTGGGGACTTTATTGGAATCTGGAAGCCCTCTTTAACAAGGGGGTCCCCAGATCCCAACCCCCCCCCCCCCATGTGAATGAGTATGGGCTATCCATTCACAAAAACAAAAGTGTAGTGTAAAAAAAGACAGGAGACAGTCTTTGATGAGTGCTTTATTAAAAATAAAAATGAAATGTCCCCTGAAGTAGATCGAACGTCAATTACAATACCCGCCGCTACCCGAAAAAAAAAAAAAAAACCCACTCCATTTGCGACGCTGGCTCTCGGCTGTTTGACAGCTGTGCCACGAGGACAGTTCTTGTCATGATGTCACAAGTGATGTCCCATGTGACGCCATTGCGTGCTGTGATTGGCCAAAGCACCTGTGGTCAGGTGCATTGCTTTGACCAATCACACTGCATTGTCAGGGAGCAGTGTATTGTGGGGGAAGACCCCGCCGAACGCCCGTACTGGTCAATGTAACCCGATATGTCGTATTCAGTAAACTACTTACAGACTATTCATGAATACCTGAGTGGATGTCCATTCTTCTCAGGTGGAACTTCACAACACCAATCGGGTTTCTTCCGTTTTTGCGTTACAAAAAAAAAGTAAGAAAAATGCATGACCATGTATCCTTTCGCTGCCAGAGCCCAGTTTTTTTTTTTTGTAGACACGTTTAAAAAAAAAAAATAATTTTAGGTCTGAAGATGACACAAAATCCCCCCAAACGTTATATATTTTCTGAAAGCATACACCCTAGACCAGGGGTGGGCAAACTTTTTGACTTGAGGGCCCCAATGGGTTCATATATTGGACCTGGGGGCCGGACCAAGAGTAGATGAATGATGTGTATGTGTCATCCATAGTAAGTATAGTAATATTCCCCCATAGTAAGCATAGTAATTAATCCCCCATATAGTAATTAATCCCCCCTAGTAATTCATCCCCCATATAGTAATTCATCCCCCATATAGTAATTCATCCCCCATAGTAATTCATCCCCCATATAGTAATTCATCCCCCATAGTAATTCATCCCCTATATAGTAATTCATCCCCCATATAGTAATTAATCCCCCCTAGTAATTCATCCCCCATATAGTAATTCATCCCCCATATAGTAATTCATCCCCCATATAGTAATTCATCCCCCATATAGTAATTCATACCCCATATAGTAATTCATCCCCCATATAGTAATTCATCCCCCATAGTAATTCATCCCCCATATAGTAATTCATCCCCCATATAGTAATTCATCCCCCATAGTAATTCATCCCCCATATAGTAATTCATCCCCCATATAGTAATTCATCCCCCATAGTAATTAATCCCCCATATAGTAATTCATCCCCCATAGTAATTCATCCCCCCTATAGTAATTCATCCCCCATATTAAGTCCCCAAGTCCCCCCTGTGTCAATTCACTTACCTTTGCTCTGCGCGTTCCTCTCGCCATGTTCCCGCGCCGTTCCGGTGTAGCATGAAAATCTGTCTCCTATGAGGATCTGTCCCCCTCGACGTATCTGCGCATGTGCCAGTTTCAGGCATTAGCAGCCGATCGGCGATCTCCGGCACATGCGCAGATACGTCGAGGGGGACAGATCCTCATAGGAGACAGATTTTCATGCTACACCGGTCTTCAGGGCGGATTGTGAGAGGAGCCTAGCGGGAGCCTAGCTCCGCGGGCCGGATTAAAAGGTCCGCCGGGCCGTAGTTTGCCCATTGCTGCCCTAGACAATAAAATGGCAGTAGTCTAAATTTTCTATTTCACATTTCATAAAAGACACACTAAAGTGAATTTTAGGGCAAACAAAAGCAATTAATCACCCAAATTAATAAAAATGTAAAAAAAACGAGGTTGCACCGAGTAATTAGATACCCAACATGTCAAACTTTAAATTTGCCCGTGAAATGGCGACAAACTTCAGTACCCTATATGTTCTACAGGCGATGTTTCAAAAGCCACCTAACAGGTCATCAGTTTAGTGTTACGGAGGAGGTCTGGCGATAGAATTATTGCTCTCACTCCAGCGTGCGCGGCGATATGTAACGTGTATTGCAATCAGCGTTTTCATGTGTAGGCACCCTGACGTGTGTTTACATTCGTATATGTGGGGGGGGCTCAAAAATTTTTTATGGGGGGGATGTTATGTGCCTGGGTGTAACTTAATTTTTTTGCAATAAAAATGTTTTTTTTAACTTTTTTTTTTCATCATATAGGGAAAACAGAGCCACCTATACCTTGATTTTTAGGTAACAGGTTCTCTTTAACCCCTTGACGCCAGTGCCTCCCGGCCCTTTAAGGGTTCCAGAAGCCGGGAGGCGGGGTTTTAGGGTCATGTGACGCTGTCAGATGGGCAAGCAGTGCCCAGAATACATGGTGGAGGGGGGGAGGCGCCTCTATCGGGTGTGTGGAAGCAATGGGGTGACGGCACAACCCCCGACTGGAGTTTGCCTGTCCGTTTTATACACAATATTGAATGTCAGCAGAGTCTCCCAGGTTCAAGTTGCATGTGCCCCTCTCTTCCTGCCGAATCCCTCTGTGATGGACACAACTGAATTTTGTCAGCCAGTTTCAGCCAATGAAACATGGCTGAGACCTGCTGATCGACTGTGTCCAATCACAGCCCAGAACTGTGCTGGCAAACACACAGGGCTCTGTACAGAGGGAACAAACAGATATTTAGTAAAAAGCAGAACACATTGTACACATTCCACACATTAACACTTGTTAGACCACTTAACCCCCTGATCACCCCTAGATGTTAACCCCTTCCCAGCCAGTGTCATTAATACAGCAACAGTGTACAGTATTATCACCGATGATTGGCCCTGGTTCATACTGGATCTGACTTTGAAATCAGATGACAGGGCAACATGGGGTATTACTTGATAGACATCTGTGCGACTTCATGCAAGTTGTATCCCAAATCAGCAAAAGTAGTGCAGGAACTACTTTTCTAATCGGTGTGACTCTGGCGAAGTCAGAGTCGCACAGATTAGAATGGTTCCACTGCTGATCATTGCATGTGATTTACAGTGTCTTAAAGTCTCCCCCCCTTTCAAATGTCCCCCATGTTGTCATGTTACAATGCAGTCCCCTCCCCCCTTCAAATGTCCCCCATGTTGTCATGTTACAATGTAGTCCCCTCCCCCCTTCAAATGTCCCCCATGTTGTCATGTTACCATGTAGTCCCCTCCCTTCCTGAAATGTCCCCCATGTTGTCATGTTACAATGTATTCCCCTCCCCCCTGAAATGTCCCCCATGTTGTCATGTTACAATGTATTCCCCTCCCCCCTGAAATGTCCCCCATGTTGTCATGTTACAATGTATTCCCCTCCCCCCTGAAATGTCCCCCATGTTGTCATGTTACAATGTAGTCCCCTCCCCCCTTCAAATGTCCCCCATGTTGTCATGTTACAATGTAGTCCCCTCCCTTCCTGAAATGTCCCTCATGTTGTCATGTTACCATGTAGTCCCCTCCCTTCCTGAAATGTCCCCCATGTTGTCATGTTACAATGTATTCTCCTCCCCCCTGAAATGTCCCCCATGTTGTCATGTTACAATGTATTCCCCTCCCCCCTGAAATGTCCCCCATGCTGTGATGTTACAATGTATTCCCCTCCCCCTGAAATGTCCCCCATGTTGTCATGTTACAATGTAGTCCCCTCCCCCCCTGAAATGTCCCTCATGTTGTCATGTTACAATGTATTCCCCCTCCCCCCTGAAATGTCCCCCATGTTGTCATGTTACAATGTATTCCCCTCCCCCTGAAATGTCCCCCATGTTGTCATGTTACAATGTAGTCCCCTCCCCCCCTGAAATGTCCCTCATGTTGTCATGTTACAATGTATTTCCCTCCCCCCTGAAATGTCCCCCATGTTGTCATGTTACAATGTATTCCCCTCCCCCCTGAAATGTCCCCCATGCTGTCATGTTACAATGTATTCCCCTCCCCCTGAAATGTCCCCCATGTTGTCATGTTACAATGTAGTCCCCTCCCCCCCTGAAATGTCCCCCATGTTGTCATGATAAAATGTAGTCCCCTCCCCCCTTCAAATGTCCCCCATGTTGTCATGTTACAATGTAGTCCCCTCCCTTCCTGAAATGTCCCCCATGTTGTCATGTTACAATGTAGTCCCCTCCCTTCCTGAAATGTCCCCCATGTTGTCATGTTACAATGTATTCCTCCTCCCCCCTGAAATGTCCCCCATGTTGTCATGTTACAATGTAGTCCCCTCCC